AATTGTGATAATAAGGGACCAACACTTGTCGTCATTAAAGTTCGCAATTCAGGGGAGATAATTGGAGGATACAATCCATTAGAATGGCTTGGTGGTGGTGATATTTCTCTAATTGATTACGATAATTATGATCAATGTGAAACACCAAATAGTTTTATATTTTCACTATCAAATCGTGCAATTCCGATATTAAGTCGAGTCTCTTCTAAAAAGGAAGCGATAATTTGGTGTGGAAGCAAAGGACCATGTTTTGGCTTAAAAGATTTGCATATTATTCCATCAAATTTTTATAATAATATTGTTTGCGAGAGTAGAAATTACTCTTACGAGAAGAAAATTATTAACAAAGAAATTTTTGAAATAGAAGATTATGAAGTATTTCAAATTATAGACGAGAGATTCTCTCAACGTATTAATAGAAAGTTTCGGGGAAGCTTCCTATTCTTTATGAGGTGGTTTGGGAAAATGTTTGAAAATAACAGTTGCTTTCAAACCGAGTTTTGGACTACACCTAAAGGAGCGGCCCTGATAACGGCGATAATAACTATCAATTTATTTCTACTTTATTTGTTTTTTCTGAAAATCCTTTGAAATATCCTATCTTGTTAGGCTACATGTGTTCTAATTATATAGAACACAACAGTTTTTTCGAGGTTGTTCGGGTTGTTGTATTGTCCGCCGTGGTATTTGTTTAGGGTCATAGTCTACGTTTATACAGTATATTTCGATTGATTTCTTTGCCTTTTTATATAACCACTGAATTATTTTTCCCTCACGGATTTACCAATGATTTTAAGCATTTATGAGTACATTTGATTCCGCTCCCTAAATTTTGGGCCTGCGATTTTTTTCAATCGTATTACTGTAAATAAAAAATATTTTATTTTCATATTTTTATCTTTTGACAATTGTCATAGGTCAATGTGAGATAGGAAAATTTAGAGACGGAATCTAGTAAAATAGCAAATTAATGTAAACATATAAATAATAGACTCCTGTATAAATATGTGGCCATTCGAACAGCGGCTTCTAAAAAGAATGCAACGCCTGTGTATAAATTCTTGATTTTCTTACAGTAATTGCATATAATTCTTGTAATTTAAAATTAAATAAATTGAAATTAAGCTTAATAACAATTTGACCATAATTAACATATATTTTTGATTTATATAGTGGCTAATTAAAAAATAGTGTGTCACTATTTATGGTTTTTTAGAAAAACATAAAAAGTTTTTTTTATTCTAAAATATACTGATATACAACACTGACAAAAAAAAAACCCCTCCGACAATTTTTTTTATGATATTAAAATTTTAAATTTAAATAAAAAAAAGTAATTCTTGCTATTATAAAATCAAAACCAAAAAAAAATATTTTTGTGATATTTAAAAAATTTATTTAAAATTTATATTGTTTTGCTTTGATTTTTTTATTAACATCAAACATAAAGAAATAAATATATTTGAGACTTCATTAAAATTCTTAATGAAAAATATTGTAAATGGATTATTGTAACTTTATAAAATTATAGATTCAAACAAAATTCATTTTTATAAAAAATATTTTAAACAACAATATTTTTTTAATAAATCGTTAAACAATTTGATATTGATTTTAAATTTAATTAATAATATCAAATAAATTTTTAACCATATATAAATAATTATTGTAATTACACTGTCTTCCAAAAAGAATGCAACACCTGATCATCGATTTTTAAATGTTATAATTTTGATCAGATCAAATCAAATCATAGTAAAATTAATGATATGTACAGTATATGGTCTAATCTAGTCAGTGTATACAGTAGAATAGTAATTAAAATAATAAAAAAATTTTTATAATGCAATTAATGAAAATTTACTGTTGCACAACTTTTGATATTTTTTTGCAAAAATAAAAAAATGCAAAAATTTACTCAAATTTTGCATAAATCAAATATTTTCGAGATAGTTATCTATAGAAAAGAGGATAAAAGCTATTATTTTATTAGAATAAGATTATAGTTTACATCAGATTGCAGTCAAAATTGATAACAATATTTATTATTTCACTATATATAGACTTAAAAAAATATCTTAAAACAAACAAATTAAAAAATAAGCATATTTCTGGTTGTCTGTCTAAATTTACTCAATATGAGAAATGTATTATTATCTGAAAAATTCTAAAAGAAGAATATAAAATAGTCATGTATATATATAGATCCTTGAAAAAATAGAAAAAAATAAATATTAGTATCAATACAATTTGAAGAATTTTTTTAAAAAATAAATTTAAAGTTTATATATAGTTCAAGAAATTTTTTTTAAGTAAAAAACATAAAAAAATCTGATTAGAATTTGCAAAATTATATAGAAATTGAACTATAGCAGATTTAAGTATAGTGGTCTGGTCTGATAAAACTACATTAGCAAAATAGATAGAATGATATTTATCAATTAATAATATCCTAAATACATATTGATGACAATTCCCCCTGCCAATTATTATTGATTTAGATAAAAATTGATATATGTTGAAGTTTATTGATTTTGATTTAAAATTTAAAATATTGATTTATAATGAAATAGTTATTTTTTTTATAATATACATTATAATTTTATATTATGTATAATAATTAAAATAAAATGATTTGTTTTCACATTATTACAAATTTTTATGAATTGTTTTGCTACATTATATTTAATTTTGTTTCTTCTTATTTTTGTTTTTGTTCTAAAGTTTCTTGTAATTGCTCTTAATTTAATACATTTTTTAATTCATTATTTAAAAATTCTTTAATAGAATTTAAGAAGAAACTATTATCATTAAAATTTCTTTATTTAATAAATATATCAAAAATTATATTTAAAAAAATTATCCTATTTTAATTAATTACTTATAAGAAAATGTACTATATGACATTTTATTGCTTTTCAGAACAAATGATACTCTTGAATTGAGGACTTAAAAAAACATCACATATAGTAAGAGTAAGCACACAATATTTATTGCTTAAAGTAGAAACAGATATTTTAGAAAAAGCTACTATTGTAATCAAAATTATTCAATAGATTTTTTCATTATTTAATTGAAAAAGTAAATGATAACATTTGAATATTTCTATAGACTTTTTCCACATCATATTAGCAGCTAATAAAGTATTGCTTTTTAAAAGTGACAATCATTTTGAATCAAAAATTTGTCATATTATCATTCTAATGCTTTGTAACATTACACCATGATAATTTTTTTTTGCCAGAAGCTTTTGCTTATTTAAGTTTTAATTAATTTAAAAATAATTAAAAACAATCAAATTATTTTATTTATACTTATCATACTGTACTATTTACTATAAAATAAATTTATAAACTAATTAGAGCTTAAATTGGACATATATTTGAAGAAGCTTATCTCAAGATATTCATACAAGACATTTTTCAAAGTAATTTAGTCTGGATAAATATATTTAGGAAACAATTGTTTTATAATATTTAAATATATTCTCCAAATAATTTAAAATATAAATTAAATAGATTTTGCTTTAAATTTTATTAATTAAAATACATATGTCATAACCTAAGAACTAAACTCATCCTGTTTATCTTTTTTTTTTATTTCATTTTGATCTTTTGAATATTATTACTAAGTCTTCTTATCAAAAGATATAGTTGCTATTGTTGCAACAAAAGTTATTTATCAACTTGCTGTCTATAACATTGTTATTTTTTAAAAAGATATATATATTAAAATATAAATTAAAAAAAATTATAAATTTATTGCACTATCTGTTAATTTTCATTTCTATAATTTTTCTCGATTTTCAAATAAAGGCAAAGTTTTATAATTTCTATTATATTAATGAGATGTAATTCAAGCTGTTTAATATGAAGTTTGTTGCTTTAAGAGTTGATGTATTAAAATTTGTTGTTGTCTTAAAAATAAAAGAGCTAGAATTTGTTATCTTGAAAATTATCTGGGCTGTTGAGATTCTAATTATTCTTTGAAGGCTGACTTGATTGATTTTATTCTCTAGAAAATTGTTTTTATTGAGATTGTTCTCTTGAAGAATGTTTCAATCTTTGCCAATCTCTTGACTTTTGCCTTAATTGAAGCTGATTTTTATTGGATCTGTACTGTGATCATTCTTTTGAGTTATATCAGAATTGTAATTATTCATTTGGATGTTGCTGGAAGAAGATTGTTCTTAACTTTTAAGGAAATGTCAATTTATACTGCTTATTATCAAAAAGATATTTTGTATGCTTCCAATGCTTTTTGTTGGATCTGAGCAATTACTATCATCATAAGCATAAATAGGCAGGCGATAATTAGCAATATTTTGTTGCACATTAGTAATAAATCAAGTTTGAGAAATAGAAGAAGTAAAAAAAAACCAAAAAAACACTCTTCTGATCCACTTGTATTCATTAAAAATTACTATTTTAAGAAATACAAAATTTTCTTGCAAAAAAAAACTTTTAAAGATCCTGGGGGATTCTTTATATTCTTCAAGAGTCAAGCAACTGAACCTTTATATACTCTTTTTGACATACTTATTACTGATGTAAACAAATATCTTGTAGTCATTATTTACAAAAACATTAACATCAATGTTATCTATACTACTCATTCAGTCTTCACCACCAGACTTTTCAAACTTGCAAATTTTCTTAAGGTCTGACTCACTCCAGTTCAAGTCTAAGAAAATAATCAAGAAATCTACAAAATTATCTTAGTATCTTTTAAAATTCAGAAAAAAAAACTAGAAAACCACTATACCAAAATTAAAGTAATACTTCCAGATCTAATGTTTTTATTTTTTAATTACCAACATGCATTTCTAATTTCAGATAAAGATCAAACAAGTATTCTCAAGAAAATAATAAAGCAGAAACTAAATTATAACTTACATATCTCTTGAAACAAACTTAAAATTACTATTGATAAACTAGCAAAAATTTTTTCTTGAAACAAAAAACCAAAACACCCATACCTTTCCAAATACTCCTGCCTTCATTGAAAAAAAGATTGATGACAATACTATACAACTTAATTATATGGATAAAATATAATATGCAACTATTCATGAACATAACAATAATTACTTCAGCTCTCATGTATACTCAACCATTAATTAAACAACTTTACATGGAATCACAAACAACAATACTTTTATTCAAACACCTCTATATATAGTACAACTGCCTAATTCAAATATGAAATTGATAATTAACCTTCTCTTAGTTAATCAATTGCAACAGTAGAGTTACTTCCAAACTCATGGGTGATGAAACCAATCAAATGCTTGAGTCAACTCAAGAAAGTTCTTTCACATCCATAGCAGATATTAGAGAAAACCCACATTCCTTTGAACAAGAAAAACCAATCAAATTATGTAAGAAGCTTAATCAATATGAACACTTTGCCAAATCTATTATGAACTTCTTTCTAAAAATAAAAAGAGAACCTACAAGTCAACCAAAAATATTATTTAAGAAAATATTCTCAAAAATCAGATATTGTAATCACAACTTTTTTAGAATATTTGCTAAAAACAAAATAGTTAAAGATCAACACCAAACAGAGTATGAGAAGATTAAAAAAAA